ACCAAAAAAAAACACCAAAAAAAAACACCAAAAAAAAACAAAAAAAATACCCAAAAAAAACCTGGACCCCTCTAAACCAGTCCAGAGGCCAACCGAATTGAGCCGGGGCGTCTGCGGCTTCTACAGCCCCTGCCTCAGCTCATGTTGTATCCTTGGCTCACCGGAATCCCTAAACCCTGAAGCACAAACCTTTGGGTTTAGGGTTTAGGGTTAGGGTATAGGGTTTAGGGTTTAAGGTTCAGGGTTTAGGGTTCAGGGTTTAGGGGGACTGAGTAAGTAAGGTTACAGGTACCGTAAGCGGGGTTATAAGTAGGTATTTGAGTGGGGTAATAACTAATTATAAGTATACTGACCATTCTGATAAATCTTATTGCCGTTGTTACTACTAAGTCCCATGATCTTTTTAAGTGAAGGTGGGGAGGTTCAGGAAACTTCGTGACTAAGGTTATAGGTACCTTAAGTGGGGTTAGAAGCATTTATATCCGCTCTCTTCGCAATCCTAAACCCACCCTCTGCACCCTAATGTAGGGGCCTAAACAACTACCACCAATTACTATTTGGGGTTCCTTATTATAATTATAGTACAATGGGCACCAAAACCCTATTCTCATTATCAAGGACCCTATATTAAGCCCCTAAATCCTGAATCCTAAACCCTAAACCCTAAACCTTCCGAAACCCTAAACCGAAGGTGGGGAGGTTCAGGGCTGCAACGAGCAGCGGCTGAACGGCAGCCCTCTGCTGGACGCCTGCCGCGGTGCAAGGTCCCAGCTACGAAGATCCGCTTAGGGTTCAGGGTTGGGGGCTTAGGGTTTAGGGTTTAGGGTTTAAGGTTTAGGGTTTAGGGTTCAGGGTTTGGGGTTTAGGTTTGAGGGTACTTTAAACCCTAAAGCCTAAACCCTAAACCCTGAAGCCTAGTCGCTTGAGCCGGGTTTACCTAAACTCAGAGCCGCTGATTCCTAAACCCTCAGCTCAATGCCCCTTAAGAAGCATTCTATCAGGCCCCTACTTACCCCACTTTCAAGGTGTCTGCATAGTACGAATAGAAAAAGAATGGTCATAGTAAAATTAGTCATAACGATACAATAATCATACTACAGTTGGTAATAATCAGGTGTTTTTGTAACAATAACAATAATCATAGCAATACTAATAATAATAACAATAATAACAATAATAGTAACCCTGAGCCCCTAAACCCCAAACCCTAAACCCTAAACCCCTAAACCCTAAACCCTAAACCCAAACCCCTAAACCCAAACCCCTACTTGGAGGGTCGGGAGACTTAGTAAGTAGGTAATAAGCAGACTTACAAGAACCCTAAAAGAGACCCTAATCGGGGTTATAATACTTATAAGTCTATAAAATAACCATCTACTAAGTCCCCCGACCCTCCAAGTAAACCCTAAGCCCCTAAACCCCTAAACCCCTAGACCCTAAACCCTAAACCCTAAACCCTCAACCCTAAACCCTAAACCCTAATAGTAATAGTAAGATGCAGGATCCTCGTGGTGTGCAACAAGCTGGAGACCGGCTTCGATGAGCCGCGGTTGGCGGTGATGTACTTGGACAGGTAGGGCCCTTGTAAGGTGTTTTTTTCCATCAGGGATATGAGGGTGTAGAGTTTAGGGTTTAGGGAGTCGGTTTAGGATTTAGGGTTTAGGGGCGTAGGTTTAGGGTTTAGGGTTTAGAGTTTGGGGTTTAGGGTTTAGGGTTTAGGGGATATGGCCTAAACTTTAGGGTTTGGGATTCAGTGGCGCTGGGTGTGGGATTCGGGACCTACGGGCTCTGAGTTTGGGGGTTGCGGAGGTCGTTGGGATGAAGGCTATGTGGGGCAGTCCCAAATCAGAGTCCTGATACAAGGGGTCCTAAATCCTAAACCCTAAACCCTAAACCCCTAAACCCTATCCCCAAAACCCTAAACCCTAATCCCTAAAGCCACCTTCATCCCAACTTTTCAGCCCTCCAAAGGACTGTCGTGGGACAGACCCGGGCTGGAGTTCGGAGTTTTTAAAACCTCTAGAAGCTGTCAACCCTACAAGCCCTAAGCCTTAACGCCCAAAGCCTAGACCTTAACACCCCCTAAACCTCAAAACTCTTTGACCTAAACTGACCTAAAACCCTGAACCCTAAACCCCAAACCCTAAACCCCAAACCATGACTTGCGGAGCTGAGCACCCTCGGATTCGATCCCGGAGGTGCCTGGCCAGCCCCATTCACATGGTCCAGGTCTTGTCAAGGCTCGGGGATTTCGATTTTTCGGGTCCTTAAAGGGGCTGCAGGAGCCTCGAGGCTCTCTGTGCTTTTGCAAAGTCATAAGACTTTTCCCGCCGTCCCAACCATGAAGCCAGGTTGAACCGCCGCTGCCATGGCAAATCCCGCATCTTCGTGCGCGATTTCCGTGGTTGCGTGGCACTGAAAGTAGCAAGGCCCCGGCGTTGAACGTACACGGATCTGAAGGAAGATTTTGGAGTTGTGACAAGATCTAACGTGAGGCACGAACACGAAACTGCCAGAGTTGCATTTTAAGGGGTTGTATTACAGTCATATAAAGGTTTCACGATCAGCAAAGACATGAAGGTCCTTTACATTACATGTTGCAGGTATGCCCTAAACCTTGGATCTCCAATCCCAGACTCCTCAGCCCTAAACCGCAGGAGCTGTGAATCTTCTGCATTAAGGGCTTCTTTAAGCCAGAAGTGCTCTACTGCTGAGGCCAAGCCGAAGCCGCAGCGCTGAACGTCTCAGCGTTCCGGCGCCGCGTGTCCTTGCGTGCGTCGACCAGCCAGGCGTGGCCATTGCTGGGCGCAGAACTGCACTCACCTCGAGTTTAGTTTTAGGTATAAGTAATCTATGTACTCACGCATGTATGTACATATATATATATATATATATATGTATAGAAGTTTACAAACAAGCACACACACATACATTTGTTGCGTTTGTGTTTCGGGTAAAGGGTGTTCATATATCATAGAACCAAGCGACCATTCCAAGCGTTAGTCTTGGTGGTATGTATACGTGAATACTGGATGAATGAGCGCCTTGAGTCTGTCGCTTGCAATCGCTCAAGGTTCAAATGTCCCCAAGAAGCTGGGTCGCGTTGCTCCTGTTAGGGGGGAGGATCCTTGAAAAGACCTTTGAACCCGTTCGGCCCTTTTCCCCTTGCTATTTCGAGGAGCCTCCCCGTAGCTTTGCCCTTAAAATAGCTGAACATCTTGCAGACGAGCTGAAGTGCCCAGCCGTGAGGGTTGACGACCGGCCGGACGAGGCCGAGACAGAGGACTCGAAGTCAGATAACATCTCCGGCGCCTCATCACCTTGGGCCTTCGTGCTGGGAGGAGTTGGCATTCTGTCGCACATCGCCGCCTTCCTTGGTGGACGCTGGCTGCAAAGGCCGGTTGTGAGTCCGGCTTCTCCGATCCATGGCCGGCGCCGGGGAGGCGGGGTTTTGGAGCTTCCGACCGGGTCAGAAAGTGGTCGTGTACTATGACGACGACTCAGTCTGGCACGAGAGGCGGGTTCTTCTTCGTGGAGGCTCTCCTGGTCACTATTGGATTGTCACCCCTGACGCCGACATCTACGAAGAGGACCTCCGAGGACAAGCGGAAGATGGCCCGCGGCGAGTTCGATTGGTCCCTTTTGGGGTCAGGACGCTGGCTAATCTCAGGACGGCGGTTTACCGGTTCCGAGACGAATGGACTGGCGAGCAGATGAAGAAGCTCATCAAGGAGGCCATTGCCATGCACGTCGCCGCCTACGGCAAGGATCCTGGCGCTGACGAGTCCGAGGTCGAGCTGGAGGACGGCAACTTACAGAGCTTCGGCGCCTTCATCGGAGCCCGCCAGTCACGGCGGCTGACGGGTAAAGGGCCCTTACAACGGGGTTACGGCGAAGGATGGAGGCCTCCCACTACTCGGCCTGGAGCCTGGCGAGTTGCAGATCCTAGAGGGCATCTGGCTTTGGGGATGCGCTTGGAGCCTGGTGCCACCAAGGATGTTCGCCTCGGCGATGGTGAAGGTGTTCTGTGGAAGGACCCCTTCTGGATCCGTGTGGAGTGGGTCGAAGAAGATTCTCTCCCAGCGTGGAAAGCGTCCCGGGTCAATGAGCTTCGGGCCGGGTGCCCTGTCAACGAGGGGAGCGACTTGGCCTTGGACCTGGGCGTCTCCGATCCTCCAGGCCCGAACGCCTCTTTGCCTAAGGCGGAGAATGACTCGGGAGAGACCAAGGGGCCTGGGGACGGAGAGGATGTCAGGACCTTGTGGGTTTTGTATGATGAGCAAAATGAGCGCTACAGGCCTTGGAGACAAGTGGTGCAGGACAGCAGCACCCACTCCTTCAGGGACTGGCCACATCAAGGACCCCAGACAGCCCTTCACACCTTGAAGCACTTCCTGCGCCACGGAGGAGAGCCGAAAGCCTGGTTGGAGCTTTTCTTAAGGAGACACTCTATCTCTCATACTGATCGAGTTGCACACGAGCTCCGAACACTCATCGACATCGTCTGGTATGGAGGAACATATGATCAGCTCAACCTGGCCTCCCTTGCCTCCTTTGAATCCGCCATGAGACGCATCCAGACCATTGTGGAGGCGTTCGCGAGCAGCTCAGGTGGCACTCCGCAGTGGGAACATGCTCGCCTCTACACTGGCCATGTCACTGCAGATGACCTCGTTAGCCCGGATCTTCGGGCCTGGGCAGCTAAGAAAGGAAAGGAGGAGGTTGAGCTCCACCAGGCCCGGACCAAGCTTAAAGAGGCGAGGCGGCTTGTTGGCGGTCAGGGCAACACCGAGGACAACGGCGAGGACACCCCAGCTGGATCGAACCTCCCAGGTCGGGGACGTGGTCGGGGCCGCTCCGCCAAAGGGGTGGAGGCCCCGACGAGGACATGAACTCCGGGAACGGGGGACTCCAGCCGGGGGGGGTCCTCTTCGACGAAAGCATGCCCGGCACCGATCCTTTTCCTTTGCCTCTACTCCGGAGGCAGCCCTCGAGGAGCTGCTCCACGGATCCAGTGAATACGCCGGATCTGTAACCACTTTGGCGGCCTACAACCGCGAGCGCATCTCCATGCCGGAATCCCTGGACGGCTCGCCCGACGTGGTGGACCTCCTGCCGGCTGATGCCCGTCGCTTTTTGGAGGCCCCTGAGCGAATGGTGAAACAGGGTCCCGAGGTTGAGTGCGAGGTCACCCCCTATTGGGACCCCGTGCTCCGTAGGAGCCCAAACAAGTATAGACAGTTCATCCAATACCTTGACAAGATCGGTTACCTAGACTTCACGCTGACGCCCCAAGAACGAGCAGGAGTTTTCTTCGTGCATAAGAGTGACAGGCAACGCATCCGTTTGATCATTGACGGACGAAGAGCAAATGCCCGACTGAAAGACCCTCCAGGAGTCAGTTTGGCCACGGCCGAGACCTTCGCCCGAGCCGAGCTCGAGCACGACAATGCGCCTGGAAGCTCAGGACTTTTGGACTTCGAGGGGATCCGTATCAGTATAGGGCTCTCGGATGTAAAGGATTGTTTTCACAGGATGAGGCAACCTCGATGGCTTCGGGAATTCTTTGCTTTGGACCCGGTGCCAGCTCGTTGGGTAGGAAGAGCTGGCTGCAGTCTACAAGGGGTTGTACTCGAACCGGACACCATGATCTACCCGATGCCGATGTCACTATGCATGGGGTGTTCGTGGTCGCTTTTCTTCGCCCAAAAGGTCAATGAGACTTTGTTGCAGCAGTCAAAAGCCCTGTCAATGTCAAGGCCCGTCAGCGACCGCACCGACCCTCTCGTCATTCAAGTTCGGCCCTCAGATGACTACCTCCTGGCCACCTGTGATCGGCACTATGTGTACGTGGATAATCTGGGCATCATCTCAACCGACGAGCAAAAGGTAGAGTCGGCGCTCACCGAGGTCACTTCGCTCTTCGAAGGCCACGGCCTGCTGCTCCACGCGGGAGAGATCAAGGCAGAGGAAGTGAGCACATTGGGATGTCGACTTGATGGGGTGAGACATTGCACAGGCCTCAAGAGAAGCAGATTTCACAACGTCCGCCAGGCTCTCAAGGGCATTCTTCACCGTGGTACCTGTACAGGACGTTTGTTGGAAAACTTAGTGGGACACCTGACCTACTCGTTTTTAGTGGCGAGGCCACTGCTGTCGATCCTCCACTACACGTACAGATATATCCAGAGGCACTACTACCAGAAGGCTAGGCTATGGGATTCAGTACGCTCAGAGTTGGAGGCAGCAGTGGGCGGGCTCATTTTCTGCGAGGCAGACTGGCGCAGACAATGGAACCCACTGGTTGGGGCCTCGGATGCCAGCCTGACTGGCTACGGAGTTTGCACTTCCTTCTGGCCCTTGGAAGAGGTCCAGGCTGCTGGTCGGATGCCCGAGCGTGAAAGATTCAGAAGGCAGGGTGCTCATTCGGCAAGGGAGTCGGCCTTGGAGGAAGCTCTGGGTCGGGATGGCCGAGATTTTGAACCCAGCCTCCCGCTCGACCCTCTCTCAGGTTGGGACATCGATGCCACGTTCCCTGAAATCAAGGCCTCACTCCTCGCTAAGGACCGCTGGGATGTGAAGTTGATGGGGCGCTGGAGCTATTCGGAAGGGATCTTTGAGTTGGAAAGCCTGGCGTTACTTAAGTCGTTGGTTCGCGTTGCTCGCACTCGATACGGACATGACTCCAGACAACTTCTTCTTGTCGACAACATGGCAGTGGCGTTGGCTTTCAGCAGGTGCCGGTCAAAGAACTTTAGGGTCCTAAAGGTCATCAGGAAGTTCTCTGCTTGGTGTTTGGGGCGAAATCTCTCTACTACAGTTAGGTGGATACCGTCTGAGCTGAATAGCGCCGACGGCCCGTCGCGCAATGAGGCCATCGAAAAGGACCCGAACACTGAGCCCTCCGGCTCCTTCCCGCAGCGCCCCAGCCAAGAGAACCAGGGTGCTGGAAGGAAAGCAGAGCTCCGGCCCCACAACAAAGAATCGAACCCTTCAAGAAGGAGATCTTCAGTTCACTCTGTCGACTCCGCCCAGGGTGCCAGCCGCCCTGCCTACCTCAGACGCCGAGCTCCTGACTGCGCCCCTGCTCACACCGGCCCGCAAAGCGCGGCCGGCCAGTTCCTCCTCAAGCACGACCGACCCGGACGAGGACGTGAAGACAGCGGGCCGCCTCGACAAAAAGAGGGTGCTCCGTTCAAGGGTGAAGAACCGCCTCCGGAAGTACCTTACAGCTGCTTTCGAAAGCCGCCAGGCCGGGACTACTCTTCTGGAGTCCCACGCCGTCACCCCGGCGGTGCAGTCTTACTACCAAGTGGAGCTAAAGGACATGCAGAACTATGTCAAGGCAAACAACTTGGACTTCACAACGGACGAGAGCATCGACCAGGCGATCGTGTCTTGGATGAACGCCTGTTTCTGGAAAGGTGCGCAGGCTCACAAGGGAGAGAAGCTCCTGGCGGCGTTGATGCACTTCAAGCCGGAGTTTGGCCGTCTTGGCAGCCGCAAACTGCCGCGAGCTTGGCGTGCGCTCAAAGGCTGGCGGAGACTCACTCCTTCACGCAGCAGGCAGCCTTTTCCACTGCCGGTGTGGGCCTCCCTGGCCTGCGAACTGAGACGGCGTGGGTTCACCAGGATGGCAGTGTTCTTGATGGTGGCCCTAAGTTCCTACGCTCGACCCGCAGAACTCTTGCGTTGCACGACTTACTCTTTGGTGCCGCCAGTTGCCACAGCAAGCCCACATTGGAGCCTCCTTCTCTCCCCCGAGCACTTGGGTCAACCAGGCAAAACAGGGGAGTACGATACCAGTGTCATCCTCGACTCCTCTTACCTCCAGCCCTGGTGCCTGGAAGTCTTCACGCTGCTAAGAAAGCAGTCGCCGAGCATGCCGCTTTGGGATTTCGACTACGGCGTCTTCACAAAAGAGTTCCAGGCGGCGGCAAACAGTCTCCAGCTTCGGGTGTCGCCTTACCAAATGCGACACTCAGGACCCAGCATAGACCGCGCAAAAGGGTGGCGTACGCAGCTGGGAGTGCAGAGGCGCGGAGGCTGGAAGAGTCTCAAGTCCGTGATGCGGTACGAGAAGTCAGCTCGACTCAGCGCGGCCTTCCTCGAGCTGCCCCAGGCGGTGCGCGATCATTGCCTGTGGTGCGGCGAACATCTAGGGGATGTCGTCCTCGGACGTTGTCAGGCAAGGCCCCCGCCATGACTCCGAAGCATCGTGCGAAGTACTTCCTGGACCTGTTTTCGGGCAGGGGAGGGGTCAGTTCAGCATGGCGCCGTCTGGGCTTTCGATCCTTCGAGTTTGACCTTGAGCATGGCCCCTCGAGTGATCTCACATCACCTTCAGTTTTGGCCAAGGTGCGGCAAGGCATCCTAAAAGGCGAAGTGCTGGGAGCGATGCTTGCTCCTCCCTGCTCAAGTTTTTCCGTGGCCAGAGACCGCACTGTTGTGGTTAGGACGGCTAAGTCACCCTGGGGGCTACCTACGCACTGCCTTTCTGAGAAAGATCGTGTCGCAGTAGCCGTGGGCAACAGATGCGTGCGGTCGGCCATCCGGATTTTAAGTGCACTGGATCAACTTCGGCTTCCTTGGTGCCTCGAGAATCCAGCCACGAGCAAAATGTGGGACTTACCGCCGCTGAAGCAGCTCATGTTGCAACCGCATGTTCAAGTCGTCACAGTAGATTTCTGCCAGTTCTCTACTCCTTGGCGTAAGTCCACTACGTTGCTTTTCGGAAACCTTGATGCGCAGGACGTGGCCCGGCTTCTACATCGACGCTGCTCTGGCCCTCCAGGCCTGTGCTCAAGGACAGGACTGCCTCACAAGCGGTTAACAGGAACTGCACCGGACGGCCGCCCTTGGACACTGCACGCCCAGCCCTACCCAACCCGTTTTTGCAAAGACTTGGCTTTCGCGCTGTCTTCGCCGTATCTAACCACCGATCCTACAACTTTGTGGCACACATCCTCTTGATTTGGGATGATTTGGGGGTACTCCACTTTGAGTTTGACCTGCTTCTGGCGATGGCGGCAGCTTTCCTCATGGCATTCGTGGCCATCCTTCAGCTGCCGAGGGGCTAGTCGCAGAACCTTCTCAAGGGAAACTTCCCCTGAACTTCTACTGAACCTCTTTCCCTTTGTGTCACTCCCGTAAGGACGCAGCCAAAGACACGAGAGCTTGTCCGCCACAAAAGGTGCGAGTCAGGAAGTATGGTGGTATGTATACGTGAATACTGGATGAATGAGCGCCTTGAGTCTGTCGCTTGCAATCGCTCAAGGTTCCCGCCCTCCCGCTCCACTTTGAGTTTGAGGGGGTACTCCACTTTGAGTTTGACCTGCTTCTGGCGATGGCGGCAGCTTTCCTCATGGCATTCGTGGCCATCCTTCAGCTGCCGAGGGGCTAGTCGCAGAACCTTCTCAAGGGAAACTTCCCCTGAACTTCTACTGAACCTCTTTCCCTTTGTGTCACTCCCGTAAGGACGCAGCCAAAGACACGAGAGCTTGTCCGCCACAAAAGGTGCGAGTCAGGAAGTATTTTCTGGATCCAAGGGGACTTTCAGAGCACAGGAGTATACTTCCTGGCAGAACTGCCCCGTCCCATTTCCGAGCCTCGTTGGAAAAGAGGCAGTCATCCTTGGTTCTGCCAGTCTGACTGTGACTGCCAGTGCTAGTCCTGCTGCCTCTGCTCCCGCTTCTGCTACTGCTACGGCCACGGCTATGCACCATCATCGCGACTGTGACTGGCCTTTAGAGCTGTCAGTGTCAATCGTCATAGCCCGAGCATGGCGAACGCAAGTTCATCTTTCACGGCTGCCCTGAACAGAGATCTTGATGGCGTAGGACTGCCAAAAAAGAGCTTCTTCTGCGAATAAGTGCAGATGAGCAGGAAGGAAGAAACAGCCAGGCTAGTGCTCTACCACAACACGCGTCCGGCTGACCCGAAGCACCCCGTGCTCCTGCAGCTGCCAGAGCACACCACGCCACAAACAAAGCCTAAGTCCTACATCCTCAAAGTCCTATGGTATCAGTAGGGCCAGCACATCCCGCGGAGGTGGAGTCTGAGGAAGGCCGCGCTATGTTGGCAAAGTACGAGGCCCTTCTCGAGGATCACGGTAGCGAGAAGTAGCATAGGCGTCACAGTTATCGTATCTTATAATAGTCTTTCAGTAGATCGACCTAAGCCCGAATCCCACAACTACTGTACAGTAAGTCTCAGATTAGCTCTGAAGCCTACAAGCCCTGAGTTAGCCCAGAACTATTCCTACCAAAACAAGGCCCTGAACCCCATAAGCTAAGTCTAAAACCTCGGACATAACCAAATCCCACACCCTGAACCCCACAAAAATAAATCCCACCTAAGCCCCAGCCCCAAGCTTTGAAACTGAACCCGAAAACCTAAACGCTTTAAGCCTTAAATCCAAAGGCCCAAGACTCCATCAGCCCAGGAGCCTTGTCTAGAAACGTTAGAAAACCCCTTAGAGGAACCCTTAGAGGAACCCTTAGAGGAACCCCCAGAGGAATTCTTAGAGGAACCCTTAGAGGAACCCCTAGAGGAGCCCTTAGAGGAACCCCTAGAGGAACCCTTAGAGGAACCCTTAGAGGAGCCCTTAAGACCTCAAGAACTCTTATGGAATCCGGAGGAACCCTTAAAAAGCACCACACGGATCCCTGAAAGGAAGCCTTTAAAGGAACCCTTAAAGGAACCCTCCCTTACCGAGACCCCCGGAAGGATCTAGAAAGTAGAACCCCTAATTTGGGACCCTATACTACCAAGGGCTCTTCATAGGAACCCCCATTAAGGGATCTACTTTTGGGATTCTCCCGGGGGTCTGGGTAAAGGATCTCTTAAGGAGGGATCCCTCAAGGGATGAAGCCGCAGAAACCGGGACGCCGGAGCTTTGAAAGGCCAAAATGGCCGAGCAGTTGGGCGAATCGCAGTCCCTCGCCGCCGTTCTCAAGGTGAGACGCTTTAGGGTTTAGGGTTTAGGGTTTAGGGTTTATAGGGTTTATAGGGTTTATAGGGTTTAGGGTTTAGGGTTTATAGGGTTTATAGGGGAAAAGGTTTAGGGTACAGGATCTTGTGAAGGGATCTATAAGGGATCCTTTAAGAGATCCGTTAAAAGGTTTCCTTTAAGGGCTCAAGGTTCACATGAGGTGGATATAATGGTTCCCTAAAGGGGGGTTCCTAAACAGCGATCTATAAGGGTTTAGGGCCTAGGGTTCAGGGTTTAGGGTCACAGGATTTGGCAACCTGTAAGGGTTCCTATGAGAGATCTGTAACGGTTTCGGGCTCAACGGATCACGCGATTTAGCAACTTAAAGGGCTCCGCAAAGGTATCTATCATTAAGAGTTTAGGGTGTTCATGATCATGGGGCTTCGCAGCACGTTTGGGGTTCGGGTTCAGCGTTGGGGGTCTAGTAATGTAGGGTTGCATAGAAGAGTATCGAGGGTTTGTGTTGAAAGGTTCTACTCGAAATGATGATTCTAGGGCTGCAATGATAATGACTTATAACCTCAATCAAGGTGCCTGTATCATTACTTGCTAAGTACCTTGACTCTCCAGGTGGCGGGGAAGAGCAGTTGGGGCGGCAGGTAACGCCAGAATCCAAATCCCAACACGTTCTTCCACAGTTAAACATTCCTGAATGAAGCCTTTCTTCAATTCAACCCTGCACCCTAAGCCCTATACCTTAAACCCTAATCGCCCTAATCTCCAAACTCTAAACCTTAAACCCTAAAAGCCGTATACTTCTTAGGGTAACACGGGTCGGACTTGTTAAGGACTTGATTTTCGGGTTACCATAAATAAGGAAGGCGTTTATTTACGATGGATCCCTGCTATGGCAACTTAAACTGAGTCCCTTACGGCTTCCAGTTCAGTCCTCGAGGTCTAACACGTACCCAGATTGTGGGGCTTACGCATGGGGGACCAGTCAGGCATATCGGCGGCAGTGCTTCAAGCTTGGCGTGCCTTGCCGGCAACGCCGCATCGCAGGTGCCAAAGGGGGCTTTAGGGCTTGGGGTTTGGGAGATGTGTGAGGGTTCTGATGGGCAGGATCCAGATTTGGGCCTGTCATGCTCGGCCAGCTACTCCCTTATTTGTCAATCTGTCCTCATCTACTCTGACATGGCCACGGAAACATCAGGTGCTGCCAGTTTGAGCTTTGTCAGGGTCGCCTTACCTAGCCTTACTTCATCTTGTGAGCTTCTGTTCGAGCTGATTCTTTTCGACCTGTCTTTGGCATGTGCGCTTGAATGCCAAAGACCCGTTGTCGGGAAAAAGCAATGCTGGGGGCCGGAATACCAGCTCAAATGTTCTACTGGCAGGATGCATCATATGCAGTGAATCACATCAGAGTATAGGGGGATTTCGAAGAGAAGGTACAGGCATACGTATCTAGACAAGCTCGTCGACGCGTACGTAAACGCATGCAGTCACATACATTTCTGTTTGCACGACGGTGCATGAACGAGCACCCGAACACATGCATAGACGAGTTGTTAGGCAAGATGCACAAAGTACAGGTAAAATATGTAGATACACATGCCGTATGTAGTATGTATGTCTCCATGTCGGCATGTATGCATGTTTGCAAGGTAGGTAGGTAGGTGGGTAGGTAGGTAGGTAGATAGGTAGGTAGGTCGCTGGGTGGATGGGTGCTTCAGTGGGTAGGTAGGTACCCTTACATATGTGTATATATATATATATATATATAGAGTAGACCTTACAAAGTTGGAAACCGGATACAGGACAAACAGTGCTGGGGATCCCTATACATTATTCTGGAGGATTGAGGCTATTGGGTTTCCAACTTTGGGGCTTCTATTAT